GGCTGCTTACACCATTATCCGTGTTTTCTGCGATCAGCTCTGTGCTGAGTTTAAGGGCACTGGCTGGAATAGTAACGTGAGTGCTTCCTTCTCTTTCATTCACAGATTTTGTTTTTCCCGCTGAGTTTAATTTTTTGGACCATTATTTGAGTATGCGAATTTTGCATCACATATTCTAATTTCTTATAAGGCGGACCCTGTGCTGACGATTCCTAGCATCTTCTTTAAAACGTTAATTTTTGCGTTCAGTCGGTTATTTCGTTGACGATGAGAAACATCGTGTAAGATGCTTGTTGGTTTTGGTTTGATTATCATTGACTGAATACTTTTCTAGTTCTGTTCACTAATGAATCACGAGAAAAGCCGTGACGGTAGCCGATAAGGCGCTGGTTCTCGAAGTTGCCGCGTGCGTAGCTGTGGGAAGGGGGAGGTTGAAGGGTCCGGAAAAAGCGATATTAGCATTGGGTGTGTCGGAAACATTTTCTTGAAAGTTACAATAGGTTTGCTTGGCGAAAACCTCTCCATTTTTACAAGTGCAGGACAAGGAGATCACCCTGTTCATATACTTAGATGGTGCAACGGAACTATATCAGTCGAGCGGCAAATGATTGTTCGAGTATAATTCTCATCAGTACCTTTCCCTTTAAGAATTCGTCGCACAGAGCGACCAAAATGAGTTATATTCTTGGTGTTTTTGAATGATTTTCAGGCAGCCTCAGCGGTGCGGACATTATCGAATCTGTTTTTTGCATTTAACAAGCATGCACGAGTGCAGCACATGCTATACGTTGCACTGGTGACGCTGTGCGGTCGAGCTCGCATCATCGGTGATTTGGATACGAGCAATGAGAAAGTGAACGAATACATCAGGCGCTGGTCGTTGAATCGCAACGAACAACGAACTCTTTTGCGCCTCATACACTGGGCTCTCATCAACGACGGCCGAGCCGACCAGGCCGCCAAGGTCGGCTAACAGACCGCTTGCAAAATGCTCATTCATAGGTTTTGTCTGTCACAGCACTGCGAACCAAACTGCGTTCTTTTGTTACTCTGAGCGCAAATTAGTGATGTTTTCAGTTACGAAAGGATTCATATGAGACCCATATGTATGCAGTTTTGTCCCCTACCCGACCGCCTTCATTCGCCGTTCAAAATTTCGTCTGTTTTGCTGCCCCAGCTGTTTGGATGTCTACTTTTCTAGCGATTTTTCATTTCCGTACTGAATTTGGAATGACTTTTTGATTAATTCGGCCTATTTCTTTAAAAAAATAGGCCAATTTAGTCAAAAAGCTTTCTGTCTTTCTGCTCTTCTGACCGCGCCATGTAGTTCACTTTTTTTAATGTTTGTCTATCCGCACTGGTGGTACCCTCTTTTGGATCAGAAGGTGACTTGCAACTCACACATTCCCTGCTGCCCCATCGATTTTGCAACTGTTTGGCATCTTTGCATTCTTCAGACGATGACTGCGCTTCTTGGCACATATACGGACGAGGATGCTGCATCGGCAGTTGAGGATGCTCGTGAATGTGTCCGAACAGCAGTTGTCGACCCCAAATCATTCAGTTTCGACCATCTTTTACGACTTTCAGCTGTGAAATTATTACAGAAGGTATGTTTGTAAGAAATTCTCTTAGCCGGATTGCTCTCCCGAATTTTACATCGTGCTAGCGTGTTCTTCTTTTGTTTTGTTAGAAAGTTGACTCAAACTGCCTTAAAATGTCTTCACCCTTGATGCCGTTAGAGAAGTGGTTTTGTTGGATGGTCTTGACAACCAAACGCTGTATTACTTCCTCGACGTGAACGAAGAGGAGGAGAGGGGCAGGGCAAAAAAAATGCCAAAAAGTGCGTATTAGACGATGTGCAGCTTTGTGCAAAACGGTGATGCAAATGTTTTTCGTTGCACTGGTGACTAAAAAATGTATCGGAGTAATACAGTAGCTCGTGAAGACTTCAAAGCAGACATTTTAAGTTAGCCTCAGATTTGGGGATTTAATGGGCAGTAGTCGCCCTTTCAAAGTTTTAATATTTATTGATGGTACGGCCATACTGTAGCAAAATCGTCTTTAAAACACCCACAAATTGTCTGACATTCAATTTAGTGAGGTGAAATAAGTTTTTGTTCCTTGTTCATCACATATTCGTGTACAGAACCGAGTGCAGCTTCCCCACCTAGCGGTACTCACAAAAAGAATGCAACAGTGTTATGAACGATAACTCGCGAAGCAACACAAAGATCAAGACACCGAAATAAAAGCATTTTTGTTTGCTGTTGACGGAATTTCTTATTGTTCCTTTTTTCAGAGCGATCCACTGATGCACGAAGTACTGAA